GTGTGTATAGGGTGGATCGTCGTGTGAAGATAGGTGATGGTTGGTGTGGGAGTGACAAGGATCGTCGTAGGGCAGTTGGTAGGAGACTCGAGCTAATGTCAGCAACTAACAATCCAACCGGACTGAGCTACGACAACGCTGAGGAGACAGACGAGAGGAATCGTTATGATGGGCATGGTGGCGTGGGATATCATTTCCTTTTTCGTCTCTGACTCTAGTTTAGTAGTACTGCCTTCGTCGACTCATAGAGCGCAGCTTCACTGACTCACCCGCAGTCCCTTTGACTAGTAGACTAGTCCTTAGGTTAGGCTGAGCAGTAGTATAAATACCCCGCGCATGTACAGTAGCACCCCAGCTTTCAGCTCTTTCGTATATTCACGTTTCTTTATTCTGCTCTAACCTCATCTGCGGATAAGGCGATCAGACAAGCTTCAGGCTTGCTAAGAAACCTCTGTCATAACAGTCATCGTGTCAAATCCCGATTTGAATGAGGAGCTACGCAAAGTACCTGTGGAAATTCTGTCCTCACCTGCCGCTTTGCATCAGGTAAGTGCGGATGCCATTTTAGAGGCCCTGGAAGTGACCATGCTCAAACTAATATGCATGCCAGTTCCTCCAATGCCTGTACACTCTGGGCATTGAATTGAGTGGAATGATGTATTACATTGACATTGTCCGAGACCAGCTCCTGCGCCATGTGAACCCCTCACCTTCCATGCTTTACGACGAGATGCTTGCTGCGTTTCAAGATCTTATTCCTCAGTGTGATGGTGAACCGCTAAGAGATCTTTGAGTTAGACCTTCACTTACTTGTATTCATGCAGATTGGGCACCGATCCCCGCTTTCGATACGTCGCTCAAGCTCCTCTTCCGCGTCAACAATCGCGCTTTCGTCAGCGCGCCTCTTTGTATGTCGACACGACACGAGCTGCTGTTCCGTCAGACTGACCGGTTTTGATAGGCCGTGATGCAGAATACAGCGACTTAATTATCGAATCCACGACAAACGTCTTTAAGGGTGCCATTCTGTACAATGCGCTGCCCGCCCCCATCCGTCCGTATGTCTTTGCATGCTCCGCTCCTGTGTCTCAGCCGACGTATGTTCCTCACAAGGTTCATTTCTCGATGGATCGACCTTGTGGGTCCTTGCATCGCTCGGGGTGTATGCTTCATCCAGCCATACTACAACCAGCGCATGGCAGAAATGGAAGCCGCAGGAAAGCTTGAGGACTGGGCCGGCAAGGAAGATGACTTACTCTCATACCTAATAGCCGAAACGAAGGGTGGGCAACGCAACGTGCAGGAACTGGCACGCATCCTGCTCGTCGTAAACCTTGCGGCGGTGCACACCAGCGCGCAGAGCTTCACGCACATACTGTCCCGCGTCGCGAGCAACTCCGAGTGGGCGCGCGCGCTCCGCGAGGAGACCGAGCAGATCGTTGAGCAGTTTGGGTACAACAAGGAGGCGCTTCACCGCATGCGCAAGCTCGACAGCTTCATTCAGGAGTCGCTGCGGTATGACGGCCTGGGTGCCTGTAGGTACCGTTCGCACTGCCTCGTTTTTAGTCAGGCTCACCTTGCTTGCAGTGGCCTCAACGAAGCTAGTGCTGAAAGACTTTGCCATGTCCGACGGAACCGTCCTACCCAGGGGCACCCTCGTCGCTGCGCCTGCGCGCGAGATTCACGAGGAAAGCGAAAACTACCCGGACGCCGACACTTTCCAGCCATGGCGCTTCTACCACGAGGGCGACGAATTCGATGATGCGTTGTACCGACGGTCGATGACCACTACTTCCCCGATCTATCTTCCATTTGGACACGGCAAGACTGCATGGTATGTCTAGCCCATTCATACTTCCGAGAATAAGGCCCTTGGCTCAATTCGGTGCAGCCCCGGACGCTTCTTTGTCGCCCTCGCGCTCAAGATGATCATGACAAACCTGGTGCTGAACTACGATGTCAAGCTGGAGCATGACAGTACTGAGGTTCCGCTCGCGTCGTGGTACATTACCGCCCACGTGCCGAACGTGAGAGCCAAAGTGCTCGTCAGACGCAGGCCAGAGGTTTAAGTGTTAACAATATCGGATTCAGATCGCTTTCCACAGCTGCTTCAATTTGGTCCAGACAACCAGCTTCTTGGTTCAGCCCATTCATGTCGTCCCGTGTGTTTGATTTACACTGCAGATATCTCTGTACCGCTGAATTCACGAATCTCCAGAATTGATCATCTCCTTCGTTGCATCACTTTCGAAATTTTGGGTGCCAGTAGTGTGGGAGTCGTTCGCCCTATTGAAAATTGTGGAAGGCACAAGCGGGAGAAATGTTATGATGTAAAAGCCAACGTTGAATAAATTGATAAAGTCATACCCGCGTCAAATGCACGTCCACTTTGCACTATCTTCTCTCCGCAAACTCGCATGTCGCAGCTTTCCGCCCATCATTTCTGTCTATCGCAGAACATCTGGCATTATCGCTGAATAGCCATTCACGCTTCACAAACAGCCCCTATACGAAGTCTTCAACAAAAGCAGCGTACAGGAAGACTCTCTTCGAATTGAAGACGGATAACACAATACGACTACTTGACCGACAACGTAGGTCGCATCAGATGACAGCGACACCACCAATACCCTCCGTGAGTTTCGCCCTTTCTTTAACATTGTGGTTCCGAATTGCCCTAAACGAATTGTCTCATAAGATTTATTGGCCGTAGAAACAAAATATCAAGACCCACAGTGCGCATACGGCGCCCAGTGCCGAACAGATAAGCGGAATAAGAAAGATTGCTGTGAGAGC